CCTCGTGGTGTCCTTTCCCCTGAGGAGCGCGCGGCTATTCTGGGCCGGCGTGGGTGTTTGCGCTGCCGCTTGGACGGTCATACCTCCTCGCGGTGCCCTTACACTACCGCCCTCGACCGCCACTACGCTGACCTTTCTCGTCAGCGTCGTGCTCAGTCCCCCCCCGGCGCCTCCTAGCCACAGTGCAGTGTACACCTACGCCCTCCTCAGTATTGGGCTTCCCGACATCTCCGTCGCGGTTCGCCCCTCTCGCTACTGGAGTTGAGGTATCGCAGGACTCGACAGAGTGTACTCAGCCCTCTGTCGTAGTACGGTCTGCGCCTCCGCAGACCACCGTCTCCCTTCCTTCCCCGCCGCGACTACCGACGCGTGGGATTCCGGTTCTCAGGGCGACTTCATTCACCCACGCGTGGTGAAGGAAGCCCGCTTACCCACGACAGGGTCTCTGACTCCCATCTCCGTTACCCTAGGGGATGACAAAACCCAGCGCTTCTTCGATCAGACGGTCACCGACCTCCCCTTCTTCCTCACTCTCGAGCCGACTGATCGTTCCCCAGCGTCTCGTCGCCACCGCTCCTCTGCACATTTCGATGTGATGGAGACGGGGTACGACTTCATTCTCGGCACTCCGTGGTCTCGTCGGTTCCRMAGCACCGAGGCYGATTGGGCGACCAACACTCTCGTTCTCAAAACGAAGTGTGGACAGACGTATCGCGTACCTTTCATAGGTACCACGGCAACACCACGCCCCGATCCTCCTCCCCCGGAGCCTTCAGTGCCCACACCATCTCCCTCTATCACTGTCACCTCGCCTCGGCAGTTCGCTCACTTCATTCGACAGGACGACGTCACCTTCTTTATGGTGGCCGTGACGGATCTCTTACACTATGATCCACCCTGTCCCGACGCCGAGCTCATCCCTCTGGAGCCAGATCTCCCTCTATCTCCATGACTCCCATCTCTACTTCCGTCCCTCCGCCGTCCGTCGAGTCCACCCCGCCGTCGCGAGCTGACGCTGACGCTGAGGAACTCGCACGATATACAGCTGACTTGGAGCCCGCAGTTCGTGACCTCATCCGAGAGTACCACGACGTTTTCCCATCGTCGTTCTCGTACGCCGGCATCCCACCGATGCGTGACGTCGAGCACTCCATTCAGCTCGTGCCTGACTATCGTGTTCACCAACAGGCAGCCTACAGACTCTCAATCCCCGAGGCCACCGAACTCGAGCGTCAGCTTGAGAAGCTCCTGAGACTGGGTTTCATTAAACCCAGCAACTCCCCGTGGGGTGCACCCGTCCTCTTTGCTCGCATGGAACTCTTCGTCTCTGCATCGACTACCGCGGTCTCAACCGCTACACGGTTAAGAAAAGCCACCCCATGCCTCGTTCCGATGAGCTGTTCGACCGCCTAGCAGGCAACCGCTTCCTTACGAAGATTGATCTTCGTAGCGGTTACCATCAGATCCGCGTCGCTGCAGCCGACCAGCCGAAGATCGCGTTCCGATCGCGATTCGGCCACTACGAGTTCACAGTGATGCCATTCGGCCTCACCAACGCACCCGCTACCTTCCAGAGGGCGATGAACGACATCTTCAGGGACATCCTGGAG